CGCGCAAGCATTACAGCATTAAAACAGCAACTTAAAGTTCCACTTCTTGCAGACCGTCGGAAAGTGTCACAACTGATTGCCCTGCACCTGCTGTACTACCATTCGCCATTCAAAAAAGATAAGTATTGCAGAGCCGCCATCCATCTTTCCTTGCGCACCGACAACACACGGAAACTTCACGTCACCACTCCAAGGACTAACATCTACAAGTTTTCACCTTTACAGCTGTCTATTACCGACTGGAATTCACTCCCCGATAACATTGTAACAATAGAAGAACCCAGCACGTTTCGAGCCGCACTTGCCGCTCTTTACACGTAACCAGCCTAAACTGTTTTTGTGTGTGTCTGTGTGTGTGTGTGTGTTTTCTTTGTGGGTTTAAATATATATTGCTGCTTGTCCCCCCTTATGTAAAGCCCCCTGAGGGCGATATAAGGGTACAATAAATTAACTGTAATTAAATAAAATTAAATAAATGAAAGAACTATTTACAAAGATTCCACAATTACGGTTTGCTTAGGCTACAGCCCCAATGAGCAGCACTACATATATGGATATGATAAAGCACCTCACAGGGCGATGTTTTTTAATCAAAACAGATTTTGAGCGCGTGTAAGTACAAGCTAGGTGCTTTCCCAGCGCACCAGCCTGAGCACGTACTAGTGACCGTTTACTCCTACCTGCCACCTGTCAACTTCTTTCACTCAAAATGCGCTGCATACATAACCGATTACTCCCTCTTAATTAAAGGGGCCCTGCAATCATATTTTAGCGTCTACCTTTTTTGCGGTTTCCACGTCTCTTGGGGCTCGGGTAAGTCAGCGGGCACGGAGAGAGTAACTAAATATCAGTGCGTCATATTTTAACCGGACGACGCGGAAACCTCCTCCACCGACGAGGGCGACCCGCGGTACCGAAAGCGCGCAAAATTTGACGTCTTTGGTCCTTGGCTTGCCACTGGTCAAAGCCGCTAAAAGCTTTTTTTGTTAGTCGAGATACATAATATAAGTGTAGCGAACCGTTTCAATTACGTATGAGAGTAGTTTTTGTTCACTATTTTAGATCAGAAAAGAAACAAATGCAGTTTAGAAAGTACAGAAACAAGGAATGGATGGATGGATGGATGGATCTGGCTAAACCCTGTGAATCGGGCGGTGGCTTGCGCCACCTAGCCAACATTATAAATCTAATTATATGTTTTGAATTCCAAGATTAAATCTCACCCCTGCCTCGATTTTAGCCACCAGTCTGATAACCTCCGCTTGGTTATTTCTACCCGTGTAAAGTCAATTTTTCCTTCACTGTCTTTAAAACCCAATGCTTTCATTAAATCCGCCCGGTCACTGTTAAAGCCCTTCACAGAAAAGTATTAAGTGTTCAGCCGTTTCCTCCTGCTCCGTCCACATAATGACCCGTCGACATACCCGCCACCAAGCGGCGGAAAAAACGGCGCATGCAAGAAAGAACTAGTGGGATAAGGCTACGACGAACGAGGAGCGTAGAAAGGTCCCGGATGTACGCGGCGGCGCTGCGGTCGTATACCGGCTCGAGAATCCGACCGGTTCCGAGCATTCCGAAGGCCTTCGGCGCGGGCCCTGCTGGCGATTCGGTGCGTCAGCGCGAAGTGGCTCCCGTTCTGAACTGATCTTTACCCCGTGTTTGCCGTCGTTTGTGGTCAATGAAGTGTTACGCCGAATTAGTGTTTAGTCGCGCAGCAAATGCAATGCGAGCCGCCCTGGCTGCCCGCTTCATACAGCCTGTCCAACACGTGCTTTAGTGGCGCCCTCTCGAGCCGTCGACACGGAGTGCGGCAGCCGTGAGCGCTCGATGGGCTCACTACTCCTTCTCTATACTTCGTTTCAGCTTCGGTCCGAGCGCGGCCGATGTTATGAGCCGAAGGGCCAATCAAACAGTGAAAGAGGCACAACGTCATGGCGTGCTCTCTGCAGTTGATAGGACCAGCGTGCTCTCTGTGCGTGCTCCTTCGCCGGCTAGTCCTATCAAGCGCAGAGCGCGCGCCATGACGTTGCGCTCTTTACGCTGTTTGATTGGCCCTTTTGCTCGTAACATCTGCCGCGCTCGGACGGAAGCTGAAACGAAGTATAGTTCACGGCCACTCAAGCCAGGACCTACGATGTCATGAAGAAGGTTATTTTTTGCTTGTTTTTGTAATTCTAATTTGCCTATAACTTTTAAAATAAAGCGAAATTTGAGAAAAGAAAATTTTTATTATGTTACTACGTTCTGTACGCTCAGGTTCAGTGCAAATTAAAAACCAGTCAAAAAGTCATTGCAGGGCCCCTTTTTAGAACGAATATCCCACATTCAACTGGGAAATACCTTTCTCCAAGTTTTAAATCCGCTACTAAAATCTGGTTCGTTCAAGACTGCCACTCTACATACGCAGAGAGTGCCAAGTTCACTGTCAGATTTTTAGAACCATTGCTTTCCTCCTACATCTTAGATCACATTCCTCGGTAGACTCATGTAAGATAAAACTGATCCCTTATGCTAAGTTTCTAGCAAGTCCACTTAATTTGCATATTTTTGGCACAAAGTGGCATATAGTGGATGGTGTTTCGAACCACAGGTTGCGTGAAAGCTCCGTAAAGTTGGCTTCACCTGTGAAAATTCTAGGAATGTTCACAAGCGAACGTTCCAAGAATGTTGCGCATACGAATGTTCCAAAGGGAACGCTCCGGCCGGGAGCATTGTGCATACGAATTTGTTCGCCAACGAACGTTCCTAGAATGTTGAGCAGCTTACCTTGTAGGGAATGTTCGCATACGAACGTTCTTAGAGTGTTACGAATTGTGTTTTAACGTTCCTTCAACATTAAGAGCATCCAGGGAATCTTCGCACAACATTGGGTGCTTGCTACTTAGTGAACGGCTGTGCCCGTGCGGCAGTGTCGAGGCCGTGAGAGAACACCGGTCCAGACAGGGCGGTGATCAGGCAGAGTCTGGCGCCACGCGCTGGCGCGTTTATTCACGCGTGCCAAGAACCATCGTATTGTCGCGCATTTATCTTAAACACTTCGTCTTTTACAGACCGTAAAAGACGCGCGAAAAACTCTCACGACCGGACCACAGCACACGATCGACTTTTCCGCTTCAGAAATGTCGTCTGCTAATTTCATTTTTATTCCCCTACGAACACAAACCATGCCCTTGGAAGTTCACTGGAAACAAATAATTGTTTTTCGGTATTTACATTAACTATGAAGTGTGTTGTTGAAGTAAATTGAAAAGAAGCGTTTATAAACCACGCTGCAGCTCGCTGCCGAACCATGGTACCGCTGTTCAGCTGCGCGTGGAAGCGAAAGCGGCCGGCAGATAGAAAACACGCTACACGAGGCTGTTGGGTGCCTCCATCTGCCGGCCGATAGAGGCACCCTAACGAAGCTGTGGATCGAACCGCCACCAACACCACCTTGCAGGGAGCGGCCGGCCATTCCCGATGCATGGTGGAGGCTATGCGGTAACTGCCAACGAGGTAGAAACTTCTTCCATTTAAAGGGCAACTCCGCTTCATTTTTGATATTTAGAAAACTATGTAGCCCTCTTCAGTATCATATAGGAAGACCCCATGTCAAATATTACGATCTAATTCCGTCTATATATTTAATAAACTGGCCAGCGAACCTTCAAGCGAGCCAAGTCGCCGAAATCTGCCAACTCTAGCGTGCGGCGCGAGGCGCAATCATCAGCGCAGTCAATGCCACGGAGTTGGAGCGGCCAACGTTGAACCACTACGTCAGAGGCATGCATACTTCATTCTCACGTTTTGCTTGTATTTACTTTTCAGAGCGAAATTTAACGATGACGTCATGAGTTTCTCCTACCGGTGTTGGCTGACCGGGCGTTCACGTGATCACCGCTGCCCTGCGCGCTTATCGGTCTGTTTCTCCGCTCCCCTTCTCCTCTTTCGTCTTCTCCCCTTCCCCCTCTCCCCCGGGCCATCCCCGTCCACGCCATGCGAAGCGACCTGCCCGCGTCCAAAAAAAGAAAAACAAAAAAGTACCTTACGCGTCGCGTGTCCTGTTTCTCGCTCCCTCCCGAACGTCACAAGACCACGTGGTTCGACGCGACGTGCCCATGACTGTGACGACCCGAGACCAATGTTGCCTGACGCAACCGAAGTTTCGGTTTCGGTATCTGCTGATGCTTAAATTAGGATTACACAAATATTATTCCACATTTCGCGAATCCGAAGACGTAGAGTTGTTGAGTATTGCTTTGTGAATGTGAATCACATGGAAGCCTAAATTTTTCGAAATTGAGCGGAGTTGCCCTTTAAGTGGAAGAAGGAATGCGTTTTCTAGGCTAGATGGCGCAAGCTACCGCCTGTTAGAAATGGGATAGCCAGTTTTATTTATCTACCCACCCTGCGTTTTCGTTTATTATGGTTTCGGTTTCGTCGAAAGTTGACACAAACTCAATAAACAATTTCTTAGTTTCTTCTCTCACTTTAAACGCTTAGTATAGCAAGAATAAATGTAATTCTTTTTCCTGTAAATGTTTGTGCTTTGCTTTTAAAGTGTTTCGGCTAGTTAGACCTGTCGGGCCCCAAAAAACTGTCATTTTCGCCGCTACTTGTAACCAGCGTGTAAAAAGCGCTGTCTCATTAAACTGAGCATGGAAGGAGCATATTGATAAAATATTTATATCTCGAAGAAACCCCACCATAGGTTGATACTAAGATCCCTCAGCCAGTTCAACCGGTTCAACGAAACTGGTTCTGATCAGTTTCGGTTCTCATGGTGACCGAGGCCATTACTGGCCAGGAAAAGAAATAAACTAACGTAACAATATTTTACTGCACGAAAACAGCTGCGTAATAATCTGTTCAGAAACGCTCGTGCCTCGTCAGTTTTTGAGGCATGAAATTGTCGAACGTCTCACTTTTTTGTTTGTTTGCGTGACTTGCTACGCGGCGCTTGCACCTGTCCGGAAGTAAGGGTTACCTGTTGAAATGCCCGGATGTAGATACGTAGTGACAAGATGGCGGATCTTTGACAGGGGGTTGCTCGAGCAGGTAAGCGTGAACTTGTTTTCTTCTACATCGAAGCTGTTTTGCATTTATACGGACGCACGGGCACATCGTCGGAGCCCAGCCCCGACGCGCGAGCGCGCAGGCGGCGTTGTTTACCACTCGGATGTCACTGATCCCACTTGATGGACTCTACGGCTGGTAACGTCGGACAGCAAGGGTTACACGGAGGCCGACTTCTTCCCACCAACTTGTTGGCGGCGTTTAGCGACGTAGCCGACTCTCGGACAGTAAGTAGTACAACCGAATGGCACTCTTTTATTGGTAAACACTGCCAGGAGAGGAGCTCAAAGCCGTCGTTCGCGCTGAGATGGCTCCGCGCCGCCGAAAGCGAGAAGTCGCTGTTGCGCGTTTCGGAGGGCTGGGTCCGGTTGTCCGCGCCGCCAGCGTAACCTTCAAAGTTTACACTGATTACGGCTACAATTTATGCGTGGTTCCTCGAGGGCGCGGGCCGTCGTGCGACCTCGGGATACTCGGCGCTGGTGTCCGAAGGGTGTCCTGCGCAGCGTCGCTGCGGGCTGGGCGCGGCGGCGTCTCGGCTCACTGACCCATCCACCGGACACCGCCTTGGGGCTCGCTACGGGCGTCAGCTCGCTCGGTGTCATTGGGGTAGTCTCGGCTTCGTCGTCGAGGCTCGACCCAATTCTTATCCGTTGACTAGACGTTCCGACTTGTGTATCTGCGGTCTCGGTCTGCGGCCAGGCTGTCGGGGTGTGTGTCTGTCCACGAAGAAGCACATGACAGGTCGTTAAGCGGAGGTCTTTTATGAGCTTTGTCGGTCTATGCGCACTGCGACGCCAACATACATAAAAACATTCGCCCTGCGGCATATTCTTTATCGCAACTACGTCTAGCTTGCCCCAAAAATTTAAGCTCCTACGCGTGAACAGAGACAGGTACGAAATTTGGCATTTCAGTCTTCCGACCTGAGGCGAGAATCCTTCGCGTGGTCTTCGAGGGCGGCGGTTGTTTCGTGTCGTGCCTACGCCGTACTTGTCCGTCGGGTTAACGTGTGTTCTCCGCCGGAACGATTCGCTGCATTCGTGAAGCTGCCGTTTGTTCGGAAAGCAGGCAGCTTTCTGTGGACTGGTGGGAACGGGACCTCGAGTTGCGCTGTCATCGTGTCCTTGACGCACCGTGGAATGCCACCTCATGTGGGCGTTGTGTCCAGCCTGAACGTGTTGTGACTCAGGGCGCTTCCCGCCCGTCGTTGAGCGCCTCCTTCGACGTCATGGGTGGGAATTAGGTGGAGTGTGCCAATATGTCCTTCATAGCGAAAGCCGCAACACGCTAGGGATGCCACGACGCTGTTCGATTTGAACCGGTTGCAACTCACTTCAGGTTTTGGACCGAGGAAGCGTATATATACGGTAATTTTCACCGTTAATCCCTTAATCTGTCAAAGAAACTAGATACTACGTTGCAAGATCAGTTATAAAATCGCCGTTAACAGTTACGGCAGGTCATGCAGTAGAGATGCCACAAAAAACATTGAATCAATGGGATATGCCAGTGTTAAGGAATGTATCATATCTAAAAGATGCCAGAACTACGGGATAAATCAACAGGTAGAGCTCAGTTCGGATAAAGCGAAACGTGCACATATACTCCTCTACACTGTTCGCACGAGCAAGCCATCGTCGGTTTTCTCTCTGCTTTTCAGCGTTGAAGGACTGTCATCAAAACTACTTTGGTGGTGAAAAGTGCTCAGTTTGTGTTTTAAGCAGAAAATTTTGATAGACATGCAACCGTTCAATGACACGGAAACCCAGGGTTACCATGTCTATCCTTAACCAGCTTGCCTGCCTACTCAAAGTTTTGATGCCTGCCTTTCACCTTGGAAGTAAAATTTGAAAAAGCACCCAAGTTGTGTCCATCCTAACACTGTCGCAACATAGAGAGTGCTGAACCATTAGTGTAAACAAGCGTTCATTTGTTTTTCTTTTTGAATTGAGATAACGTCATTATCACTGCAGTGTCTGAGTAGGTAGTTGCTTGTGAACCAACTTTAGTTGTAAAATGTGATGCTTGTCAACACCTTGCCTAAGTGAAATATGAAAAAGTGCTGATTCCGTGTTCGCGTTTGTGTCGTGCATTAGCGTTAGGTGAAATTTGATGCAAACAAGCTCTATTAAGTATAACGGACACAGCACGATGCTGTGAGCATCAACAAGCGATCACCAGTTTTTTTCTACTTCTGAAATGGCTGTCATCTAATTTATGTTGTGGAATGAGTATATTCGATGCTCTAATGTAGGCGGTAAAATTTCGTGTTCGGGAGTATCTTGTTTTAGGAACATGGGAAAAAGAATCAATGGCATGTTCGCACAGTGAACTTAGCTCTTTCCCAACTGCGCCCATAGACCATCAATCTCCGGTAATCGATGGCTTTTAAGCGCCATCAAGAAATTAAATTTAGTGCGGAGAATTATGTTCCACAATCTCGTGGATGGCCAAAGCACTCTAGTTTCGGTTTCAACGTCTGTGTAAGCATTATCACTAGCTGGTGGGCTGTCAAAAATAGTCGTGGGAATGGTGATTGCACTCGTCTAACTTGGCCAACTGCTTGCATCAGTCTTCATAACATAGATGGCATTATTTACAAGATTTAACCGTATTGTGGCATACTTTTTAGACCTCAAAAGCTCTGGGGACACTTCGAATGATGTTAATAAGCATTGCTTAACAGATGGCTGTTGGTAAGAATCACTGTAATTGCCAAGGCTGTCCTGAGCCAGTGTGCGCATTTTATGTATTCTATTCTAAATAAAACAAATATTCTAAATATGAGGGAACTGCAATCGAGGCTATGGCGAAACCAACATAGAACACAAGGAAAGCATTCTGCTGGGGATGTGAGGTGTGTTTCACCAGTATAAAACGTTGAAACGTTGAAAACCATACGTGTTACAGAGTCAAACTCTCTGACGAACCGAAAATAGACGTCAGTTAGAGTACACCCACTTTCAGAAGTAATAGCCGTGGGTGTGCAGCACATTTTCTATATTCAGATATTTGTTGTTTTATTTCTCGTTTAATTTGACATAACTGAAGTTTTGGCAATTATAAGCCTTCCAAACATAATCATATTTTCAAAAAGTAAAATTTAAAAATCTTTTTATCCACATTATATTAACCTTTGTTTCTTTATAAAGAACAGCTAATTGGCCACATTTTGATATGTCATATAGCGTTTGTACGGATCCTTTGAAAATTGCCACTTTTCCCGTGGTCATGATAGGGTTAAAAAGCAAAGCTCCCTTCATGGTTTCCTTGTATTCCCTTCAAATGCTTTTCTTAAAATGGAATCTGGTTCAGTGTAATTTGACCATGCTAGAAAGGAAAATCTGCCTTTAATTTCAAAAGTTGAGGATCGCAATTATCTGCCAAGTGAATCTACAGTTGCCACCATGTATCACCAAATTTCGTGATAAATCATTTCAAGAATCAAAAATTCTTAAAAATCACCCGTTGACTTTTTTTGTTTTGTTTTTGGTATTGGAAAATGTGCATAATTACAGTTTGAGTGTTTTCTGCTGAAATGGGGTTAAAGCGAGTAGGACGCAAGTTCTCAAAACTTTAACAACTTTTAAGATTGGCCATCGAATTTGGATACTCTTTATACGGAATAGAGGCATGTGTAGCTACCCTGAAATCTCGCGACACGATGGCTCAATCTGCTATGGAGTCCGGTCTGGCGTTGGTCGATTTATGTTCCAAACATCGTTCCGATAACTCCCCCCCCCCCCCCCCCCCATAATTGCACCCAATAACGATACGATGCATGCGTAAATGCGTCTGCAGGACATCGGCCGTCGTTGTCCAAGGAATCTACTAAAATGCCATTTTAAACGTTGCTTAAGGAGACACGCTAGCCTTTCCGTGGCAGGCACTTCTTTTGAAACCGCAGGCGTGTCGTCGGCACTACAAATAGCGGGATTTCAGGCGGCTGAAGTTGGTTGTTGCTAATCACTGCATTTACTTTTCTTTTTTTTTTTGTGAAACACAAGTAAACACTTGTGTAATTTGAAACAAGGAATGTCGGTGCTATTGTTGCAGTCTTGCAGTATCGAGATTTTTTACCTCGACAAGAAACAGCTGTTGCATGTGTACTTTGGTGTAGAGGAGCATGAGACTGCTTGGCTCCGAATGTTTTACCCAGTAATTGCCAGAGCTGTCACTGGTTAAGTAGGATCATCAACTTTGAAATCGAAATTTTAGGGAAATTTTCCCGGCCTAAAAAAACCTAATTTTTCTTGTGTACGACTAATTTTAGGTGATGCCTGTAGCATTTGGGATCCGCACACTCAAATATGTGTTTCTCAAATAAAATAAATTCAAAATCAAGCCTAAATTGTATGCGAAAAATAACTACAATTGCCCTGAAAACACTTCAGAAAGGAAACAGTTGTTGGGATGAAGACTCCTGCAATATTGGTGCAAATGTTTACGTCGGAAGTTATTATATAATCTATATTATGGTAACACTGGTATTGACAAAATCTACATAAATTACTACATTTCTCACCAAATAGATAATCAAACATAGTAGAACATAGTTAAAAATCGTGCACAAGGAGTCGAGGACAAACGAGGAAGGAACACAGAATACAGACAGGCGCGCACTCACAACTCTAGCATATTAAGTGAAGAAAAGAACGATGAAGCAAAATCTTTTACAGGGGACGTCACCAGGGGTTAAAACAGATCAGTCACAATCAAATGATCGCAAGAAGGCATCTTCTTTTTCGCTCAAAGCTACCGATAATCAAAAGATTCGCGAATTTCCCGCACAAACTGATGTGTTAAAAGTACCCATTATTTCCTCAAACTGGTCATGAGTGGAAGATGCTGCCTGGGTTATTAGTAGAGCTTCCCTTTTTTTACTTGTTTTTTAATGAAAAAATATTGTGAAGTTTTTGTTTATCTTTGGTATAGTTTGGCATTTCTGCTTTTTTGCTTTATATGATGTTGCTGTATTGTGCATTCTTTTTGTGCCCCCCCCCCCCACACACACACACAAACACACATACACACTCTTTTACTGTAATGCCCACCGGGCGATGTAGATATGAAAGAAAGGACAGCGAGGGAAACGGATGTGAAGAGTGAAGATATGAAGATATAAGTCATGACCAAGAAGGATTACAGTTAATTTGATTTATTTGCCTCGAGGCACCTAGCATAAACAATGGTGGGCAAAAAATATGTCTGACCAAAAGAAATAGAA